GCGGTTGACGACCAAATTCACCTCATCTTACTACTACATGATACTTGGTTTTGAGTAAGATCGTTTGAAACGCTTTGTAGGTTCTGTTCTGACATGTGGGCTCAAGGTGTCGGAGTGACGCCCGTGTTCGAGTAGCCGAGCATTGTGACTTGCGGATACAACTCTCAACAAGAAAGAAAGATATCGGAGAAGGGCTTCTTATGAAGGATCAACCTGGGTGGCGATCGGTAATGAACATTGAGCATTTCCTACAGGCGTCGGTGTTTGGCACACATGTCGGACATTTTCCCCAATAGTAATCTGTGGGATCGCAATACGGTTGCATACGATTTCATACACCTGATTGTGGCACAATAGAAACTTTGTCAATAGAAAGACTTATATACTTTACAATACAATTGGCAATTAGAGGTGAACCACGGATCGAAGAACGAGAACGCGATGCTGGTTACTTGTTTTCCGTCATCAATCAACGCGTGGAGACAGTGCCTTTGCTTCCATCAGGTAACTACAGCGAGAGAATATAGAGATTTGAATTTAGGCTATGACGACGTGATACCCGCGGAACGGAAAATGGCACTCACCTCAGTCTCAGATCTCCTGATTCTAGCACCCCCTGTGATTTCATGGTCACCAGATAGTCGTCCATGGTCCTTCCATCTCGGGTCAGAGCGCACATTAGGGGGGAAAGGCTTTTGTGAGACGGAGGTAAAGTTTTTGCCGGGTTCTGGTACTTGTGCCGGTTTGCGAACGGTGAGGAAGTAACCAGCAACGCCCAAAGTGGTGACCATTATAGCAGCGAGCTAGATGGAAAAGGGGAGGGTCAGCCACATCCTCATCATACCGAGATCGATGGCGATAAGGACGTACTGGATATAGTTGAGGATCTCGCTTGGCGAATCGGTTGTACATCCTTGGGAGAGATTGACGTGCAGCGTTTTCTCTTGGAGGTAGTGAGGCCATCTTAGAATAGGTTTGGTCTTGGCAGTGATTTTTGCGAAAAGAGGAATAGATCTGTGTTGATCAAAACGGACGAAAGAGGGAGCTCTTATATATGACGATTGGACGAGATGCCGATCCTTAAGTGACGTCACAATAGTAGTTGGAGTGGCGTTCAGGCTGGACTTCGATGGGCTTCCCGATCTGTGCTGCTCCGCTTTTGTATAGTAAGCAGCTCCTCCGTAGTGACGAATAGGCTTACAGATGGCAAGGAGGATGTTGGCGCTAAAAGGGTTTATAATGAGGATCCATGACATCCCCCGCATTTAATGGAATGCACGCGATTAAGAATTGGACTGAACCACCAAAGCATCGATGTTCTGGTATTACCATATGACAATACATAGTAGTGGAGCTACTGGGCTAAAAGCCGCAGTTGAAAGTTTCTGGATGGGTGTGGGGAATGCAACCATAGTGGAATGTTCGAACAGATTGGAGTGTAGGGTAGGTGGTGGATGGGTAACACGAATGCACTGGACGACGCGTAGGTGCGGAATGAGGTCAAACGGTATCGCTAGATACAATGAGGGTAAGCTGAGCCATGTTACAACGTAGCTAATTAGACATACCAGACTAGACACGACGAGGTCGTTCAAGCCAAAACAAGAGCATCACCCCATGTGCGAGCAAATGCAACAGCTCCTGCAAACATTGAGACTCCAACCAGTATGCTGATATTTCCAGATTTCTTCTCTGGCGCGAAAACTTCTGTCCTCAAAAATCGGCTGAATGCGGATTCGTTTGGATCGACTTGGGAGCGAGGAGCCAAGTAGGCTGGTGCAGCAGCACGAGAGCTAGCTTGAGGGGTACGACGAGCCATTGATGATTGTGGGGTGATTGAGGAAAGAGATGGAACGCAGACGGTGGAGGTTGATGAAAACGAAAAATGATAAAATCTAGTCTTGCTCAAAATTTGGAAACACGCGTAAAGTCCGATAACTCCGTCTCACCCCTCTCGAACCAAAATTCATCTCCCTGGTTGGGTTCCCGCAGCCCCCCGGGGATTAGTTCAAGCTGCGAGAAACGACCCAACCAGCAAGAGGAGGGGTTTACCCGGGATCGAACCGGGGACCACTCCCAAATGATCTGAACCCTAAGGGAGTATCCTACCACTGGACTATAAACCCATCTAAGAACTCGTGCACCTCAATTTTACTTAGCACTATGTTCGCCTCAGAGCAAAGAATAGGTGAAACTCTGTCATCAATAGAAAAGTGTAATACCGGGAACTTTGGCTGCAATTAAAAGGTATTATTCTGCGCACAGGCCGATGACCAACACACCATTTAAGGCGGCGGTTTTGTGATCCCCAACACACCATTAAGGTGGCGGGAAATTGATTTTTTGAGACTTTGTTGTCTTGATTATCGGCCTGCGCGCTGAATAATCGGGGTCTACCCGGAGTCGAACCGCATCGTATCGGCATGTCCTACCGTTAGACTATAGACCCGACTGATGAAAATATGAACCATTCGTAAATTGCAGACATTTGAGCAACCTAAAGCGAGTGAGTCGGCAAAATGAAGCCCTAATGAAGCTTTAGATCCATAGCTCATATGTTCTTTTGGTCTCAGTCACTGAATAGCTACCATTAGCTAGTGGAGCCAAACTTCATCTCGAAGACTAATGCTGAATCTCTAATAGGGCTGTGAATCCCATTCAGTCGATGATTCATTTGATTGACGATGGAAATATATACTCGATGTGTTTCACATTGAGAACCAGAAATATATCAGAGAAGGGCTGTGATGCGGTCAAGGGTGTTAAAAAAATTCGCTGAGGGCATGCTTCGCCCAACAACACACCATCTAAGGTGGCGTTGATAAACCGCGAAGCGTCCCTCAGCGAATTGAGGGCTTACCCGGGGTCGAACCGGGAACCATACCTAAATGATCGCTTGATTCATTGAGGTGCATCCTACCATTGGACCATAAACCCATCTACTGGGTTTGAGTGAACCTTGAACCCGTCATGATGGCCGATACGAGTTCAAGTTATCTTGGATCTCGTTATCACACCCTTATTTGCGCTGCAGAACAATCGGAATCGGGAATCCGGCACGAAGTCCAAAATGTGTACAGAAGATCACGTTACGCGTCTAGATATGCTTCTCGAAAGGGTTTTTCTCGACCCGTCAAGAGGTCCAAGATAGACATTGTACATCCCATCTGGAATAGATTGTCCGCGGCATTGGTAACGGTAGTAAACGATTATGGTACAATAACGTGCTCGAATTGGGAATGTGAGGGGGACTACTAAATCACAAACCCAATTAATCAGGTATCCATCTTATCCTGTGGGCTGTCCTATTCGCTGTGGATCCAATCCAATATAGATGCCATCCCTGCGATATCCTTTGTTTTGCAAGAATCAAGAGGGTAGAAGAAAGCGTCGATAAGGCACGCTACGAGGAAGCGCCCTGAAGAAAGGTTCCGAGATCTCAGGGTCCAATTCCATGTCCGACTGCTTGACTTTTTGCGGCTCAACGACTTTTTCTACTTCTTCTTCGCAGCCACTCGCTACCGCTGCTCTGATACCCCGACAACCCTACTTTAACTGAATAGCCACAAGGATTCACGTTAGAAAAGGACGTGGTGTACGATTAGCTTCGATATTGTGATCAACCCAAACGATGGTACCGCTTGCCCAAAAATGCGTCGCTGTGACGATCCCAATGGTTTTCCTCACATGGATGTACAGCTACACGAGGAGTAGCCCTGTATCTCTTCCCGTTGTGGATGTTGCGGCTCAGGATCCTTGGGCTGTAGAGGATTATGTCAAAGGACCTCCCACCAAATATTTCAAAGGTGAGTGAGTGCCGCCTTGTGAAGATATCTTTTTAGACTGACTCAACGCCACATAGATAACCTACGGAATGATACCTTGTACGTTACAGGATTCGGAGATGCGGGGTGGAGTAAGTTTCAGCAACAGGAACACCTAACTTGATGCTTATTGTACGCTCCTTTCCGTCCAGCAAACGATGTCATGACATTTTGGAATCTGGTCTATATTGCAATGCTCACAAATCGAGTCCCAATCATACCACCTCACGTTCCAGGTCACTTACCATGGGAGGCAGGAACATTCCGCTTTGGAGATATATTCGATGTTCCTAGGTTTAGACGTGAACTAGGGATGCCAATCATTGAGTGGGCAGACGTGAAGACGGACGAGGCATGGAATGATATAGGATGCTGGAGTCCTTTTGCTACTGCTAGCAAGGAGGGACAACCGAGATACGGGCCTATGATGAAAGCGGTCAAATTAGGTGCGTGTCAAATGCGATTCAGTCCCTCAGGGTGCTATTGGGGAATTGACCACGCATTTCTCAGATCCATCCTTTACCCCAACTCCGGAGAACTCCAATCTCTGGAAAGAAAGGCAAACTCACTCAACATTCTGGGGACTTGCCGAACTAGGTTGGCCAGAAGAACGTGAGAGAGGCATTAAACACAAACTTCCTTTACCAAACAGCAGTCAGAAAACGATCTATCCTGATCATCAAGTTCTTTGCTTTGACTTCTTGTATTGGGTCGTGTAAGTTCTCCCGGCGGAAGCTTCGAATCAAGCATCTCCGACTAATCTCTCTACCATCCCAAGCAATAATGCACAGTACGAATGGGAAAAAGATCATCATCCAGCGTGGAGATTAGTGGGGAAACACTTACACTTCAATCCGAAGATGGTGAGCTTGGCCGAAAACACTCTAAGAGATATGTGGCAACTCTCTGCCCATGAGTCCATCCCTCCAGTAAGCCATTCATCTTGTCGCAGTTCATCTTATCGCTAAAACTCATACCTATAGTTTATCTCTGTTCATGTCCGTCATGGTGATTTCGAGGTTTTCTGCGACTACAAGGACCTCCCTGTGGAGAAATGTTATGCACCGGTATCCGCATTTGCTCAAGCAGTTGATGAAGTTCGTGCAGAGCTCAAACAACGGAAGAATATCGATGTGCAACGTGTTATCGTGACAAGTGACGAGGTTGATCCACTTTGGTGGAGTCAGATTAGGGCGAGAGAAAAGGACGGATGGTATTTCCTCGATGATGTGGCTATACAAGAAAACCATGGACCCTGGTGAGCGATTACATCGTTCTCGGCGATGACCTGCAGAGACCTGATGTTATCATGCTTAGGTATCCCATGATCCTTGACGTTGTCGTTCAATCAATGGGGACCGGATTCGTCGGGACCTCAATGTCTACTATGAGCATGATTGCTCTCAAAAGAGTACGAGAATGGAATGATGGAGTAGGAAAGATGGTAAGGGAATGGATTTCAACGAACGTTCCGCAAAATTGTCTGAACAATCATTCCATCATAGATCACTTGGGGAGAGAAATGAGTAAACGGCGCTTAATACATAAGCAACTAATTCGGATTCGAACGCTATCTCGCGGAGTCAGTGGAATGTTCTGTCTAGAATCATGATTGCCACCATTGACATTTGGGGTTTCGGTGGGTGAATGGGTTGATATCACAAGGACGCTATCTGTTGTTGTTTTCTTTTCGTAGTTTAGTGCGTATCTATCAGACTTCTGTTCATTGCTTATTATGGTTCAATTAACTTAACGTGGTAATTGGTGTCGTTCTTTGGCGCTAGTGGGCAGGAACTAGGGTGCTGCGGCGTTGACGCCCATGGAATGAACTGCCCGATGTCTGAGTATATTTCCTCTTGACTTCCATCGCAATTCTCGTATGGATTGATATAATCCATCTGGTGAGTACACGACATTGAGTACTTCAGATGAAGGCATCGAATCTCATACCCGCCTCGAGACGTCTCAAGCCTCTAAACTTTGTAGTGCATCGAATATCGCCACCTATTACTACAATGAGTCACTGCGCGGCAACCGCAGTCCCGGAGATGATTTTGTCTGGATCTCGCAGTCACCTCAATCGCGCACACGCGGATTTCATGTGTCACTTTCTTCTTTTTGAATTGATACCGTATAACTACAACTCGAACCATAATGTACTACAAGTTTATCGGAAGATTGCCACATGATTCATAACTGTTATCCAAAGAAACGGATGAAAGGGTATTCTGTGAGTACAAAGAGAAAAAAACGAGTCGAGAGACATGATAGAATTGAGCAGATATCATAAATTTTCTTCAGGGAAGCACCTTATTGGATAAAGGAAGGCTCAACCAAAGAATTGACGATGGCGTCAAATTCGAGTTGCGTGAGGCTTGGAGGAGTGGTGGTGTTGCCGATTGGGAAGTAACCTGAGGATGCATCGTGGTAGGGGAGATATACCTGAGAGTTATCGTCGGCAGGTAGGGATAGCGCGTTAAAGGGGTGAAGCAAGGATAGTGGCTGTGTCATGGGCGCTTGGGAGACTGGAATGGTATATGTGAACTGAGGAGACGCGTAACCAGCAAAGAAACCGGTAGCGGCACTCTGCTGGATGAAACAGGGTGGTAGCTCTTGTGGTGGAGGGAATAGAGGAGTCATAGGTCGACTATGCGTCGACGCAGGCGTAGCAGGAGTCTGAAGAAGTGAAGGAGAGGTGGAAGAGGCGACAGAGGACTCGGGAGAACGATGACTCTGATAACCCTCGTAGATCATGTTGGCGCTCGAAGATGGAGAGGGTGTTGAAGAGACAATGGGTGGCTTGAGGGTATGATCGCGGGTGCCTCCAGATGAGCGAGGAGTGGGCCTTGAAACAGAAGCCTTGTCCGTTCTTTTTGTCCTAGAATTTCGGAATGGACCGACCGATTGGGAGTCTTTATGTGCTTGTGTCTTCATCTTTGCCTTCCTGGACTTGGACTTAGGTGGTTCGTTGAGCAAGGTGGGCTCAATAGTCCACCAACGACTCTTGCCAGGTACACCCTTCGGCTTTCCAGCGGTGATAAACTTGGGGTACCATGAGAGATGGTGTCTGACGGTTACGCTGCACAACACGGATTCAGGATCAGTTCAACTCCTTGCGGGGTTGACAGCTAAAAGGCGAACTTACTACAATTTGTCCATCCTCTCAGGGGTGTTGTACCACAAAGGGAATTTGCTCCTGATAGCCTCAATAATCTCCCTGAGACAGAGCTTTCCTACCGGACTCCCCTGGATAGCGCATTGGATCAGGATGTGGACCGGATATTCCGGCTCCTGTCCTGGACGGGCATCATTCAGGTGGTCCAAGGTAGTCTCGAGATCAGGCAAGGGTTGATTCGAGGGAGGAACGCTATCGGTTTCTGAGAAGTCTACTGATGGAGAGGACGCATTGGAATCATAGAGAGACGAGAGTGGTGACTCGGCAATGTCTGCGAAGAGTATGTTGTGAATGAGTCTAACGGAAACCACAAATATCGCAATGGGACGCACCCTGAGAGTAAGCGTATGTACTGTAGCTGTTCAGCTCCTGGTGACTGGTGTTAAAGCTCATGGAGGACTCGGAGGACGGAGGAGGTCTAGAGGGCAAGCTCTGGGGTTTCTAGGAGTGAAGGAATGGTGCTGATGGAGATTGAAAGAGCACGGAGGGCTCTCCTTTTAAATTCTCCTTGACTAGGGTCTCCCCAAGGATCGGAGCAGATTGTTCGATGACTGCGAATCGAAAGCCCTCATTTTTACTATTTATCTCGGAATCGAGGGACTCCCGGCTATTCATAAGGACCAATAAGAGTACAGAAGTCATAAAAACCCTTCGCCACTTTAGCTCAAGTCCAGTGGTGATATGAGCAAGCGTGTGATGAATGAGTCGTTCGAAGAGCAGGTGGACAGCTTCATTGTGATGTTGTATAGACTCGAACGACAGTCGAATTTGTTCCCACGACCAAATATGGAAGGGATATAGATCGAAACACCAGGCAGCTCCTCTCGATCCACGCAAACAAAGGGAAAGAAGCAGATCACCTCCTCCAAAACTTTGACAAGGTACCGCGGAGCTTGTACGGAAGCAGCTATGATGAAACACGTTTTTGGGGGAGGCTG